CAATTGAACCCCAAATTTCTGTTGCTAAATGAGACAGTTGTCAAGTGGGTTTTGCCTCATTTTACAAGCTTTCTGGCCACAGGTTGTTAAGTGAATCACCACAGTTGTTAGTTACACGGTTGTTAGGTGAATCTGACTTCCCCATTGATTGTGCTTCTGAGAAGATCACAAAAGATGATTACATGGCCCCAGGATACTGCAATTGTCATAAATATGAGTCATTTGCCATGCATCTGAATTTTAATCATATGGCCATAGGGATGCTGCAACAGTTGTAATTGTGAAAAACAGACATGTCACTTTTTCAGTGCCGTTGTAATTTCAAATGGTTACTAAACAAACTCTTGTACATCAAGAATTACCTTTATTTGTAAATTCTACCACCTTTACACATATAAAAGTCTTGCTGCTGTTATTAAGTTCCATAAGATTTCTCAGTTTGCTTGTTCATTAACCCCAAAAGAAACACCTCTAGTTTTCAATTGTAGATTTATCTTTAATTTTTTTCTGAATCAAAATACATATTTGGTCCTAACATTTTCTAGCTTTATTACATGTCCACCAAAAATGAAATAATGTATCTTCAGATTAGTTACATTTCCAATAAATATTTGAAATTCCATTACACATTTTTGACAATACCTGATGTCAGATATCAGCAATACATAATTTTATATAAGCAATCTTTAAGATTAAAGTTCAAAGTAAATTTCAATCCTTCCATATATTTTCCCATTGATCCAACAAGATGTTATATCCAAAATAAGATTCTTATCTTCTTATACACTTTAACTTATTCATCCTGTTTCCATTTTCAGTAAAAATGTATAGATCTTAGCAATAATATGAGCATCATTTGTACACAGTTTCACATCAAATTCTTACCAATTTGAAAATCATAGTTCTTGTCAAGTTTTAATCTTTCTATTAGCTGGGTGTAGGAGAACCGATGACATATATAACCTTCTGATTCCAGATGTTCTCTTGTTTTTAACTTAAAAAGTCTCCAGAGAAAGACAATTCATCCACATAATGTTTAACTATCATTTCTCTTCTAAAAATGCTTTCTGGGGTGATAACAATAAAAATATGTTAGGGAAAAAAAATCTTGTTTTATATCTATTTCAAACTCTTTAAGTATGTCACATGTAATAAAATGATTTTTAACATCTACATTCTTAACTTTTTCATACCACAAATAACATTGCCATCTAAATTTTAAGCATGTCCTTCCAATTCTAATAACCCCCTATTTTTCAAAGTCACTCATTCTTTCATCTACACTAAACAACAATCTGCAAAGTACAATTTCAAATATGGTAATCCTTGCCTTCCTCTTTATTTAGCATTTTGCAATAATTTATATTTAATTCTCCGTTTCTTTCCTTGCCAAACAAATTTGGGGGGAAAAACCTTGCACGTCCTATTTTGAGATATTTAAATACAAGCAATATACAAGCAACACCCAGAACTGTTTAAATAAATGCTGGGATATTCTGACTCTAATTTTCTTCTTTATTAATGGTATTTTAAAGTATGGGATATGCATATATAAACTGAAAGAGAACATTCAAATAATATACTAATTGTATTCAGGACATACTTTTTGTGAAAGTTAATCTATGGGAAAGAGAGTACTTGGCAGGGGCAAAAATAAAATAAAAATTAAGATTTTTTCCCCCCTTCCTTACATTTTCCAACAACTGCAGAGTCCACTTTTTTCAGATCAGTTGAGTATTGTTGCATTGATTGTAACAACAGGGTTGTTGCCCAAGCCTATATCATGGGTTGAAAGAGAGTGACTGGCCCAAAGACACCCAGCTGGTTGTCATACTGAAAGTGGGACTAGAACTCAGTCTCCTGGTTTCTATTCTGGTGCCTTAACCATTACACCAAACTGTTTCTCAAGGGTGAAAATAAGAATGCTTTCTTTAAATTGAGTATATGCTAAAGCTTGCTTTCAATAGAATATGGGAACAAGTGGCAGAAGACTCACATAACAGGATTTTTTTAAAAATGTAAGAAATAAGGAGGTAAATTCAGAAGATACTTATCTGCTGAAGAAAGTAGACGCAACTAAAAGCTGCTAAGCATACAAATATTTGTATATTGAAAGTTGTTAATCATCAAAGTGAGATTGAATTGTACATTTGTACATGAAGCTTTCTAGCTAGCTATTCTAAATCCATCTGTCTAAATATATTGACCAAGCTGTTTGAGAATTATTAAATCCATCACACGTAGAGGACACTAATACAGCCCTCAATGCTTTTTGTAATACAGAGCAGGCAGCTGTTGCATATAAAATGAATACTTATAATTTTTTACCTGACTTCTGTCTTATAGCCTTCTCTGTTTGCATTGGGCCAATTTTCACAGAATAGGAAACCAGGATTGTGTAGAATTATGTTGTTGTTTTTTTGGTCTTCTTTCTTGCAAATCCTGTTTCACTTGCAGAAGCTATTCAGGTTAGACCTGAGAGAATATCAACTTTCGAACTGAATGACTCACTTAACAGTATTGTTGTTATGCTCAGATAGAAGTCTACTAGAAATTGAAGTCAACCACTGACTAGACTAAAGACTGAAAGGGTACTTTGATGGGGCCAAATACGTAGTCTTATTTGAAAGAACCGGTATGTTTCAATGATTATTAACCTAAGTTGCATTAGGAATTAGAGCTGAATCTAAGGCCATCTGCACAATAGTTTTGACTCTTGATTCTCCTGCTTATATACACATGTTTGAATTGTTGGTCGTCTTGTTGGCTTTCATTCATAGAGTTGGCATGCTGCGACCCAAATTAGCCTCAGAAGTTTCAGTTACATTTATGTTGATGGCGCTCAAACCCAGAGTGCTTGCAAAGTAACCTACTCTTAATAATCTGCAGAAATTATACACTTGCAACACCCTCTTTTTCCTAGAAGACCATGATAAGAAACAAACCTTGAATTGCTGTGAGACAGTCCTATGAATTATCCTGTTTCCCTGAAAATAAGACATCCCCTGATAATAAGCCTAATTGGGCTTTTGAGCGCATGTGCTAAAATAAGCCTCCCCCTGAAAATAAACCCTCCCCGAAAATATTTAAACACAGAGCTGGAAATCAGGGAAGATGGCAAGAGGAGCCCCATCTTCCTCAGCACCCCCCAAAATAATAAGACCGAAGCCCCCCAAGAAAATAATGCCAAGCACTTATTTTGGGGTTCAAAAAAATATAAGATGGTCTTATTTTCGGGCGGAAACAGTAAATTTTAATATACAGAAACTTTGTGCTGTTTTCCTTCTATATTGTTGTGGTCCGCCAGCAGCCTGCGGAGCTGGCAGCAGTTGGACAGTGAGGAGGCTGGGGAGGAACATGGGCCAGTCTTGGAGTCTGGGGAAGGCTTGGACGAGGGCTCTGCGTCGGAGGCAGAGATGGGGCCAGGGCCATCTGGGAGTTATTTGCGGACTCTGGAGTCTCCAGAGTTGGACATCAGAGAGGCAGAGGAACAGAGGGGGAGCCTGTTCCTAGTGTGCTCATGCACAGAGCTGCCAGAAGGCACGAACAGTTAAAACAAAAGGGACGACTTGGGAGTAAGGCTTGGAGATGATTGGCCCCTCCCATAAGACATAAAGGAAGAGCAAAGTCATGTGGGCCTTTGCAGGAAGCAACGTTGTGGATGATGTCGGTTTGTACTTTGAAGCTCCGTTTTTGACTCTGTTTCCATGTGGCTTTGCCAAGATAATTGCCAGTTAGGTCTTTGGCAGCATGTCAAAGAAGATAAAGGAAGCCTAGGTCGTGTGTGTGTGTGTGTGTGTGTGTGTGTGTGTGTGTGTGTGAGAGAGAGAGAGAGAGAGAGAGAGAGAGAGGGAGGGAGGGAGGGAGGGAGGGAGAAAGTGTCAAGCTGGGCTTTCCTTTCCCTGTTGTGGTTTTGAGGGCACATAAAATAGAAAACCAAAAGAAACATTTTGTAAACCAATATTTTAATGTTGCCAGGTCATTGCCAGTTTATGAAATGGCATTCTTTCCAAGTCATGTGTGTGTTCCTTATAGTTGCAACTTAACGTGGGAATAATACATGCAGTTCATTCTCACAAACAGCTCATTTGGGGGAGCTGTAATTCTATAATTTTGTTATGTATTCAGGGTAAATGCCTCAATTGTTTGTTTAGAAATAGTTTTGTTCTGTGGCCACCTTACTTAGATAGAAGCATGATAATATACAGTGTGCCAAATATTACTCTGTGTTTGTTTGAAGCGTCATTCAGGGTTTTTCTTTCCATAACTGGCAAAAGTAGCAAACAAAAATAAAAGCCCATAGCTTCAAACTGCCAATTACTAACTCATTGGTTCAATTCAAAAGATTTATTCTTGCTGCTGAAAACATTTCTGCAATGTTTTCTATTTGTACAGAGTACAAGTATGCTGTCTCTTTTGCATTTTCTGAGTACTGACTTGGTGTCTCAGAATAATTGTTTTCCTCAGATTGTGGACTACCAGGCTAACCTAAAGATACACATTTAGCTAAGCATTTTCCATGAGAAAAGAAAGTAAGGATAAGCGTATATTCATTCATTTGTTCGTTCATTCATTCATTCATATCCTACTTTTACATTTTTAAAATAAATAAAGTGATTAGAATTCACGGTCTCCCAGTTTCTAGCCTGGTGACTTAACTACTAGACCAAACATCTCTTTCTTTTATTTGAAATTGTTGTTATTGTATTGTCTCTTTTTAAATACAAAACAAACAAATCTTTGGTAGTCAATATTGTGGTTGCTTTTGTATGGCCTATTGATTTTAGTATAAATTACTTATGAGGAAACTGTTGGTACCTTGTTCTAGAGTCTGATCTTGGGTAGCACTTAACTTTGAGATCAGTCTAGTCAGGTAGTCATTGCAAACTTCCATATGATATTGCCACTTTTTCTGCACTTATTGTGCATGAGAACTACTAATGTTTATGAAATCCTGTGGTGAACAGCATTTGCTAAAATGTATTTGTACTGTTTTGCAGGGAGATCTAAAAAGCAAACTAGTAAATGGCTGCAGAGCAGAGCTTGTGGAATATGTTGCATATGCCCATGGTGAAAAATACAAGTTGAAAGCAAACTACTCACTGCCCTGGGAAGATGTGCAGACAAATGAAAAAGGAAGTATGGCCGGCTTAGAAACAGAGAAGTGGGTGCTCAATGAAAATCCTTCACTTAACATCCATTTGAATGGAGATCTCTGTAACGCTGGAACCGGGGATGAGAACTTAACACATTTTGAAAAGGATGCAAAACTGGTTTATTCTTCCAGCATAATAGATGAGGCCCCCAAGTTATTTGCACATACAGCTAGAAATGGCATTAAAATCTTACCGCATTCACCAGCAGAATGTGACACATCATTGAAATCAGATGTGAGCACATTGAAAAAAGCAGATGTGAATACTACTGCAAAGCTGGCCAACAGCTGCAATCACAGTAACTCCAGTGCCTCCTGGAGTGAAGCGGCTCAGCTGAACAGCATCTACCCTTTGGCAACTGGAACATATGGTGCTATTCCAGAAAAGAAGGACTATGTTGTAGGCCACCAGACAGAAAACCCAAACACCATTCAGGAAGCCGAAAACTCACTATTGCAAACCATTTCACTTTTACATTTGCAGGACAAGCCACCCTGTACTCCTGTGCTTGAAAGGGGTGCTTGTCTTGATGATGGTGCTTCAAATATTCCTAGTAAGGATTCCCAACCTGAAGATTTGCAACTTCAGTCAACTTTTTTATCTCTGATTAAAAATAGAAATTTAACTGTGGAACAGGTGGTAGCTATCGAGGCATTAACACGCTTGTCAGAGGTCCCTTTAGGCCATTCTTCACCAGCTAAACCAGAAGGTTTAGAGCAGCAGACGTCGCATTTGCTGAACAGTTACAAAAAGGATAACCCTTGTCCCTTAAAATCATCTGCACTGAAAGTAATAAAAGGGACTTGCCCGCAAAAAGATCAGCAGCTTTTTTCTCATCCTGCCTCACAGAGGAGAATCCACCCTAAGAGTTTGTTCTACAAGGCTCAAGGTGCTATTTCTGAGTTCCCCAGTAAATCTCCGGGTCCATCTAACTTACTGCGTAGGTTGCATTGCACCTCAAAAGACACCAGACCTTTCTCTGCTTTAGCGTCTGGTGGAAATTCAGGTATTGCTACCAAGAAATGTCCTCTTCATCATAAAACTGCTCTCGGGCCATGTTCCAAAAACTCAAGTACCGTCAGGCAGTGGTGGAACAGAGGAGAGGCGCTTGGCAAATGGGAAGGAAAGGCTGTTCACAACCTGAATTTTAAAAGTGGTTCTGTATTTAAGGGTGTGGTTCACAGCCAAGATGAAGAAGAGGTAGCCACCCAGTTAACTCAACTCGCAGCAATAATTGAATCGAGCAGAACAAGCCCCAATCCGAAGACGACAACAACCCTTCTCGGTCGATTACCACCTGATATGCAATCAAAAAATAAGCAGGATCAGTGCCTATTGCAGAAGAAACAATCGGTATTTGGGAGGAACAATTACAGCTCCTCGTTAGTCAAGCAAAGGCAGCCACCTCGGAAGAATGAGAAATCGGTACCGAGGGCCAAAAGATTGAAGAAGAAACCTCAAGTAGTACCAGACCAACCAAGTCAGCTACAGCAAGAATGCCAGTATAGTGAATTGCAGGACATACAGAAAAAACCTTCCAAACTGCGCAGACTTGGGCGCATCGCATCACAAGATGCAAAGCTGTCAGCCTTGGGGAAAAAATCTTCCAAAACCAAAGGACAGAAGGCGCGGAATCGGACTGCTTTGTCATCCCAGCAAAAACCAGCTGTATTATTTCTTCCCAAAACTCAGATAATATTCCATCGGCCTTTACCGGCTTCAGTACAAGGCAAAATAAGAAACAAGCCATTAGGCTGTGAAATGGTGCCAGAGCCCCTCAAAACAACCGGCTTTAGCGATGCACAAGGTGCCAGCAGCCAGAGTGGGGTCACAGGGGCTCTTCAACGTGGAGCCCCGCTTTCTAGTAATCTGCTGACTGTTCCTCAGTTAAAAACAGACTTTTGCATAAAACAAGGAAGTGAAAACGGGCAGATGTTTACAGAAGAAGGCAAGAATTCTCAGGTACAACAAACCATGAATATCCCTCAGCTGCGTCCTTTTCCTCAGATCTTCAGTCAGAGAGCTGGCGACATCTGCGAGGAAAGCCAAGCTAAACCACAGGACGCTGTGGAACAAAAGGATCAAAATCTCCAACTGATCCCCCGTAACGGTGATGATGGCTTGCCAGGGGATACCATGCACACTCTTAGAAATGTGGAGCATGTAAGTGAAGCTACATTTCCAACATTAAGAACTTTAGAGACTGAAAAGCAACAGGGTACTGGGAACTTAAGATGTTCTCCAACAAAGAATACACTCAGTAGTTTTCTTGAATCTCCCATGACATTCTTAGATACCCCTACAAAGAATTTAATTGATACACCTTCAAAGAAAGGACAGAGTAATTTTCCAACCTGTGACTGTGTGGGTAAGTGTCCTGTGGTTTATTTTTGCATGGTTGAATTTTGAAATCTTTTCTGTCTTTCTGTACGGATCATGTCAGGTAATAAAACATCTGTAAGGAAAAAAAGCTCAGAGAGCACCAAGAATTCCACAGTTCAACCTTGAGCTACAGATATTCTCTTCTATTAAAAATCTTTCTTTTCCTCAGGTCAGAATACCCCAGAAACTTGCAAAGATTTATACTTGCTGAAATTCATGAGTTTTATTCCATAACAAGAAGATCCTCTACATTTATCCAGATTCTGCGCAGATACCTTCTTGACTATCTGGATTTCTTGAATTTTCTTCAAATTTAAAGCCTGTTAATGTTGAGCTTTTATCAATTTGTGAAATCAGAGCTGATAAAATTCCCAACTATCTTTCTTTTTTTTCCCCACAGCTTACAAGGAAAGGAATTGTTTTATTTTGTTCAGAATTATGCAGAAATTGTGACTAACAGCATTTATGAATGCTGAAGATAAGCCTTAATCCATGGGTCTCTTACTATATGTTATTGGCCAACACATTGAATTCCAGTGGCAACATAATACTCTGTAATGTCTAATTTTATTTTATTTTTTAAATGTGAAAGGAAGAATCAAAACTGTATTTTTGATAAATAACAAATTCAACCACCTGCAGCATTTACTTATATGGCAGTATTACCAATTTTAAATTAATAACCAATGTTGATAGTGTTAGTACAATCTCTCTTTGTTCATGTTGAAGTGTGACTCAGTTGCTAATCCCATTCCGGCATTTCAATGCCAAAATTATATAATGATGAGTTTTTATGTAATAGAAGTGTTTTACAGGTAGTCCTTGACTTACGGCCACAATTGGGCTATAGAACTTCTGTTGCTAAGTGATGCGGTCATTAAGTGAGTCACATCCAATTTTTTGACCTTTTTGCTGCCATTATTAAGGAAATTGACACAGTTGTTAAGCGAATTGCACAGCATCAAGTGAATTTGGCTCCCCCCATTGACTGGGCTTGTCAGGAGCCCTCTCACAAGGTCACAACACAAGATGCTGCAACTGCCATAAATACATGCATATTGCCAAGTGCCTAAATTTTGACTACATGACTGTAGGGACGTTGCAGCAGTCATAAATCTGAGGACCATCATAAGTCACCTTTTTTCAGCATCATTGTAATTCCAAACAAATGGTCATAAGTCGAGGACTACTTGCTTATTGCTAATAGAATAGTTAAGCTGAGTCAAATGAGACTCAGTTTAATTTAAGGAATTTTAAGTAGTGTTTCTGAATGTCCATGCAATATATTTAACAGGTATTTAATTTATTTTTTTTTTGCAGAACAAATTATAGAGAAGGATGAGGGTCCATATTATACACACCTTGGAACGGGCCCAAATATTGCTGCAGTCAGAGAAATAATGGAGGACAGGTGAGGAAATAAATGTTAATGCTAATAAATAAAAATCAGTTTGACACATGGGTGGTGATAGTAGTTGTAGTAAATCTGGTGTGTTCTTGTTATGTTTTGGTGGGCTTGCTGTGTTTTGTTGGATCTGAAAAATAATCCTTGCATATGAACTATACTATATACTAGAACAGTGATGGATAACTTTTTCTGGACAGAGTGCCCAAAATCTGCGCATGTGTGTGTGCGCGCGCACACCCAAACCCCCAAGATGCAATGAGGACGCGGTCCAGCACATGTGCCACACCCACATGTGTGTGCTCCCTGCATGCGCCCTGCCCCGTGCATGCATGCACACCCCAGTCACGTGCGCATGCACCCCAGTCACGTGCGCATGGACGGCAGAGACCCAAAGACCAGCTGGCCGGCGGGAGGTGTACGCAGGTGCAGCGGAGCTGAATTGGGGTGATGGCTTGCTTGCCGTAGGTTCGTTATCATGGTACTAGAACATTTACTCATAGCAAGTATGAGTCGGTTTTAGAAAATGAGTTTGAATATTCTCATTTGCCTTTAAGTGGTTGTTAGCATTGGGTATTGGGTAGAAAGTCACACTTTATGGAGATGTGGAGAAATCCATCTCTTTCATGTTAATTTCTCAGCGGTGTAATCAAGTTGCTAAGGGTAATTGAAGACTGAACTATGGGAGAATTTCATGGGGGAAATTCAGATACGATTCCTGCAACAAGCTGTTCAAATTATAATCTAGGTCAGTAATGGCTAAACTTTTTGCCGTCGCGTGCCAAAAGTGGGGGGAGCACGGGGGGGGGTTTGCGGCCCCTGCCCACACGCATAATGCAATTGCCCCTGTGCGTGCCTGAGCATATGACCCCCCCATGCTCCCCCACCCCCTACGCAAGCACGCGTGACCCTTGCGCATGTGTGTGACACGCCCATGCTCCTCTGTGAATGCACAGCGCCCTGTGCGTGCACGCCGCCCTCCCACGTGGCTTGTTTTGGGCCCAGAAGAGCAGCAGGGGCTGTGTAGCAGTTCTCATCTTGTCTCTTGAGGCCAGGATTCTGGAGGAGAACCGCCACCCCCCACCCTCGCCCGCCATCGACAACAAGCAGCTCTTCTGGGGCTGTGGGACTGCACAGCAGTTCCCACCCTGGCTCTTGTGGCCAGGATTCTGGGGGAGAACCGCCGCTAACCCCTCACCAGCCACCAAGAACAAGCAGCCCTGCCCCTGCTACTCTTCTGAGGCTGGGGGTTGTGCAGCAGTTCTTACCCTGCCGCTTGCAGCCAGGATTCTGGAGGAGAACCACACCGCCTTTTGCCTGCCAACGAGAACAAGCAGCGCTGCTTCTGCTGTTCTTCTGGGGTCCTGAGCCGGCCAGGCGCTCTGGACCACGGACGCATGCCATCATGGGCTGGAAGGCTAGGGCCATGCAAGAAGCCCGCTTGGCAGGGACGGAGGGAAGCCCCGGCCCGCCAGTCCTGGCTGACAGCTCTGCTTCCCCAGGAAGCGACCGCCAGGATCCCATCTCTGCGCCTTTGGGCACGTGAGCTGTTCTTCGTGCGTGCATGCACGCCAGAAACCAGACCAGGTGGCCAGCGCACATGCACACGCCAGAAACAGGAAGATCATCTTTACAGCATGCGCACCGGCCGACTGCTCTTTCGGTTTCTGGCACTCCCGCGTGCGTGAAGACTAGCTGGCTGGCATGCCAGAAGAGTAATGGCTGATGGCTCCATGTGCCTGGAGAGATGGCTCTGCGTGCCACTTCCAACACGAGTGCCATAGGTTCACCATCACGGATTTAGGTACTCAGCCTTCGTTTTGCACATAGTGCTATAATTGTAGCAGAGCACCTAGGCCTGGTATGTAACTACAGGCTTACATTCCTACAAGATGTTAGCTACCAAAATCTCTTCCCCCCCCCCCCCCCCCCGGTTTCCTATCATAAGCCTTCGATTTTTTTGTTTACTCAGTTCTCTGCTTTCCTCTCATGACAGAAGGTATGGAATGCTATAGCCGTGATGGCGAACCTATGGCACGCATGCCCAAAGTGGCACGTGGAGCCATGTCGCCTGGCACGCGCGGTGTTGCCCTTTCCTCTTCCGGGTTTTTGGCACACACGCACCGATCAGCTGGCCTTTGTGCGTGCGGCAGTGCTGGAAATCGGAAGAGCTGGTCTGTGACCTGGGAATGGGGCTTTCTCGAACTTCGGAATTGGGAGTGTCCAGAAAGAAGGAGGACCAATTGGAATTCTCCCTACTGCAGCGTCATTGGTCTCCGGGCAGAGTCTCCCTTGACTTCACCCACTGGAGGAGAGAGTTCCGCGCAGAGAAGAAGTCCAAGTTGGTTATTCAGGCCAAGATTCCGCCCTGCCACTTTCTCCGCTTCTCTCTCTCTGCAGAACTGTCTCTCCTCCTTCAGGTGAAGTCCCAAAGGACTCTGCCCGGAGACCGATGACGCTCAAGCAGGGAGAATTCTCATTGGTGCTGCCCCTCATTCTGGCCCCTCCCATCTCAAAAGATCAAGATAAACACTTCCTTTCCCCAATGCAGAACTGCGGATTCCTCCTCTGGGGCTGGAAGCATGTGGGCCACCAGCTGATTGGTTCATGAGCATGCGCGACAGTAATCGGAAGACTTGCTGGCCGGCGTGCATGCACACGCAGGAAACTGGAAGAGAAACTGGGCAGCTCCTCTTCCTGGTTGTGGTGCTGATGACTGCGCGCGTGCGAAGCTCTCCCTTTCCGGTGCCGAAAAGGTTCGCTATCACTGACCTAGAGCTCTCACTCGGCCCCCTTCCCCAAATTCACATTGCCATCCTTTAATATATTGAAATATGTTAAGCCGTGGTGACGCAATGTTAGAATGCAGTATTGCAGGCTGACTCTGCCCATAGCCAGGAGTTCGATCCTGACCTGCTCAGTGTCGACTCAGCCTTCCATCCTTCTAAGGTCAGTAAAATGAGGACCCTTATTGTTAGGGGCAATATGCTGACTCTGTAAACACTTCGAGAGGGCTGTAAAGCACTGTATGCTTGTACCCATTATTATTCAGTAACATCAATCCTCTGTATGACAAACTGTTTAAATTTGTATCCGTGCAGGTGTATACCACTCAGAATTGTTCTGGAGATAAATGACTTTAAATCAATTAAGTGATGAACAAGCACAAATTGATGAATTTTGGGAATGTGTACTGGGTGGGAGGCATTCACCAATCCCATATTTCCTTTGTGCTTTAGATATATTTTGTAAAGATAGACCTTTATCTAAATTCCAAAAACCTTCAGCTTGTCTTCAACAATTTGGTTCCTTACAGAGGAGTTAATTGCTATAATTCCAATACATTCAAAGAGCACCAATTGAGGGAGATTGATTTAACCTTTAAAGTTGCTTTAAAGATCGATTTAAAGTTGATTGAACCGTTGGGTCACCATTTCAGATATATTTGAATACCTAATACCCAAGCAGAAAAACAGAATGACCAGGAGCAGACAGAAAAGCATGGGAGAGTGGGAACAATCTCTAACTTCCTACCAGCTTTCCCACAGACTTACTTTCCTTGTAGAAAGCTGGCAGAAAGCATTGGAAATGATTATTACTTGACTGGGTGACCGTGGCAATACTGAAGTGGCCACAACTTTCCTAGATTTCAGTCCCCAACTTTTTTGACTTTGCAGACAGGGGTAGGGGATGGTTCCACACGAGCGGTTGACAAACACGCAGGCTTGCCTGCTGCTCGTGTGAATGGGGATGCATCTGCGCTTGCCCATCACTTTCACGGCCTGGTTCCAAAAGGCTCAAGGCCTGGTAGTGGGCCACAGCCCAGGGATTGGGGACCCCTGCTGTAAATGAGGCTTTTGAGGTAGGTTAATTCAAATATTGTTGCCCTAGCATGCACCGTTTCATCCAATTGAAAGTTACAAACAATCAAACAGACAAAAGGGATTTAGTAGTGTACAGACAATGCTCTGCTTACAAATAGGTTATGTGCTGAGCATCTGTTTGTAAGTCTATTTTGTTCGCAAGTTCATATTTTGTGCAGATAAAATAACCTTTTCCTAGATTCTGGGACCTTCTAAGTTGGGAGTTGTTGACAAGCTTGTTGGTATTGGTCGAAGTTTGTAACTCAAAAGTTTGTAAGTAGAGTATAGATAAAGTCATCTTGGATTAGTTCAGCATTTTGTTACCATATTAGCCAATCTGAGGCCTCTGGAAGCTGGTGAAATCTCAAAGCAAGATGAAATGTTAGATAATTTGACTGACATTGCACTATTACAAGACACTTTCTTGTGGGACGTGCTCAAATTAATACGCTTAATATGAACAGAGCAAGTGATATGAAAACTGTAACTTAAGCTGTCAACATCATGAACTATATTTAGCAATACTTAACATCAGATACATTTGACTTGCATAAAGATCTGTTTCACATAAGGCAATTTGCATTGCAATTTTCCCATTCATTTTCTTGCTGATTCGTTTTTCCCTGCAATTTGTTTTTCTTCCCTCCAATTGCTTAGCGTCTGTAATTTTGGGGAGTTTGACTGTGATGAAACTTTACTCGCAAAAAAACTTCTGTTTGCTTCTTTGCAACTTGTGTTAAAAAATTCCAGTGTTTATTTATTTCAGCATAGTAGAACCAATGCCCTTCTTTTTTGCCACCTTGCCTGGGTCCAGCACACCTGTTATGGCATGTTCCTCATCATTTAGGATTGCTTTAGTACCATGTTGCTTACCTGGAGCTGGGAAATGATGGAGAAATTGGACACAGCAGGGTGCAAAAGGAGAGCAAGAAAAAGGGAAGCAGGACATTTAAGTGCAGCAAGTGACTAGATCCGTGATGGCAAACCTATAGCACGCATGTCACAGGTGGCACGCAGAGCCCTCTCTGCGGGCATGTCAGCCATTGCCCTAGCCCAGCTCCATAGTGCATGCGCGTGCGCCTCCACCAGCCAGCTGGTCTTTGGGTTTCTGCCACGCATATGCAGGGGGTGAGGCCTTCCTCG